GGAAGAGATTTTACATTTCCCATCTACCTAATAAAGAAATGGTCCAGACCATTAATAAAGTCCTGAATATACTGAATCTAATTATAATTATATGTCTTTCTTTCCCACTAGATTAGTAAAGAAAAGAAGATACAGTCCCTGTCAATAAACAGCTCACAGTCTAGTAGAGGAGTCCACAGTCTTATCTATAATAGTGTTCTTTGCTATAATGCCTAGCATACAGTATGTACTCCAGTAAATGATTGTCATATAACTGAAGTGTTTCTCTTTATTTGTCTGATAACTACTATTTGGCAGAACTTCTCAATTTTACCAACTTGAGCCAATGGGTAGTCTTAGAGTACAGACTCCCTTTCTATTTTAGACATTGCCTCTTGGAAGAAGGAAGTTGTTGCCTTAAGTCTAAACCCTGTGACTGTTATTTGATTACTGCTGTTAATAAACTTAACATTTCTTCTCTTCTCGGAATATACAATATACAGAAATGGAAGGAGGGTGAGCCATTGGGAGCTTTACTCTACCATTAAGCATTGCTCTAAAGGCTACCTCACATTTGCACTTAGGTCACAAAGCTTCTGTAACTTTAGGGTGAACCACCATCATTGAGAAGGTGGAACGTGGGATGTTGGGACATGAGAGCAGAACCTTGGGCCCTGGCATGCTATGTGTAGGACATTCATTCTTCTCTAACTAATCTCACTCAGCTCTGACCCTCCTTTTTTCTGTATCTCTTCAGCACTTATGTATTCAGTTTGCACTGTATTAATTTGCACTTGTTTGCATGTTGCTTCATAAGTATTAAAGGCTTTTATCCCCTCACATATGTATTGTTTTGTGTCCCGAACTAAAGTATGAGCTTTTTGAAGGCAGAAACCATGTCTTTGGTTTCTTTTGTATTTCCCATAGCACCTTTTACTGTGCTCAGCAGAGAGTGGGCGCACAGTATATGTTGTGGAATGACATCCTGAGTGATCTCTCCCTGGCTGGGCCTAAGATTAAATTCCCTGAAATGGAACAGTCCTAACCAACCCAGGACAGGTATTCTCCATCTGGCATGTTGGTTGCTTCTTTCAACTTGCTATTTGAAATGGCTCCCTTCGACATCTTTCCATCCAGAAAGTGGGACTTGGCATGGCTGATGATGTGCTTGCTGTATGTGTTCCAGGCGAGTCTTCGGACACCAGAACTGACCTGGGAGCGAGTGAGATCCCAAGTTGACCATGTAATATGGCCTGATGGCAAGAGGATAGTGTTGCTGGCAGAGGTAAGACCTGAGGCTGGAGAAGTTCACCCCTGACAGGAGAGACTGCAGTACCCATGTCTCCTCCCCCTCATGTTCTCTCATACTTTCAACTCCTCTTAAGAATAAGCTTAACTACTTTACCAATGGATTTTACATCTAATTGTGAAAGGTCTTTTCATTCAGCAATTAAGAGACTATTTTGGTTCCCCACTTTTCACCAATTATCCTGTCTCTCTATGTCACTCTACAGGTTGAGTCAGACAATGACTTATTACTGTGGAAGGAATTAATGGATAGAACCATTGCCACTTTGAGTGATGCTTATAAAGAGATAATGTCATTTGTGGGATGGTTTAATCAGGAAGCACAAAGTAGATATTTCTGACTGTAACTAAGATAATCTTAGGCAAACTCTGAGAAGGTCATGTCTTTGCTAATAGATTCCCTGTTTCTGAGTGTCCATTCCCCTAAACTGAGCCAGACGTGTAGTAGATAGCCAGCTATGTATTGGTTGTGTGATTGATATTTCCCTTTCCTGGCTTCTTCTAGCTCAGCCTTACTCTTGACTTTCAGGCCACTTAGACTCCCATGTCAATGTTTGGCCACTTTTCCTTTCTTGACAGCTTCTCTTTCCTATCCTAGATTTCTGACACCTGTAACAATGCCCCCTGTTTTTACCTTAACACTTTCTCTTCTTCAGGGAAAGATACCAAGATTACAAGGGGGACAGTAATACTTTCCTTGAGTTTTGATTTTCAGTCTTTTTTTTTAATTAAAGAAACTGAAAATGAAAACATATACTGTCTTCATCTAGAGGGCTTTAAATTTATTTTTGAGTCTTCTTCCTATTCTCTTCACTTTTTCTCACCTTATCTCACCTTCTCAAATACTTTAGGGCATCTGTAAATTATGTACAGGAGTGTGTACAGGGAGGGGATCAGCAGGTTGTTAAATATTCACTAATTGCTTTAAAGTCAGCCCACTGTCTGGTGACTTATTTCTAGGTCCCATCTAGTAATTTTGGTGACAAAAGCTAGCACCATAGTTGTTTTTGGCTACAATGGTTGAGCAGAAAACGTGATCAAGCTTCCTAGGAAATAAAGTAGGAAAGAATGGCATCGGGGGAAGGTTCTAGTCATTCTAACTCTCTGAATCACCCACTGGAAATACATGACTGCTTGAATTCAGGAGAACCAGGTTGAGGAAAAAGCACAGAAACCATCACAGCTTCCTAAGTCAAAAAATGTCTCCCATCACAACCTGGAGAGATTGCCCTTGGATTTGACCAGATCATTGTTTAGGACAGTTTTTTGAAGGAATATCGATGCCTCAGAAGGAAGATATTCTGTTGTAGAAAGTAGAAAATTCAAGGGAAATATACCCTTCCTTGGCATAAGCCTCAGTATCATGTGACTATCTCTATTCCTTTTTACATAAATGCAGAGATCTTTTATCTTATTATCTTCATCAGATTTTCCAGAATTTCTTAACATTTCACTCAAATGTCAATCAGTTCATTTCCACTGACTGAACACCTGCTTTTTGTCCAGCATGTTAGTTGGGAAGTGTTTGGAAAATGGCTGTCGTGTTCTTCCCTCACTCCTCAAAGCCAGAGACTTCATCTAACCAACCCATTTGTGTGTTAACCTTTGCTTTCTAGGGCCGTCTGCTAAACCTAAGCTGCTCCACAGTGCCTACATTTGTGCTCTCGATCACCGCAACTACTCAGGTAAGGCCTCCAGAGTGGGGAAGCAGTGGGCTGAAAAGAGTCATTAGCCCATCAGGGTTCCACTTGATATGGGGTAGATTGCTGTGAATGGCACGTCAGCATCCATTTCTCTGCTTTTCTAGGCTCTTGCCTTGATAGAACTCTACAATGCTCCTGAGGGTCGCTATAAGCAGGATGTCTACCTGTTGCCCAAGAAAATGGGTAAGCATGAGTTCTTCTATCCCAGTCCTTACCAAGTAGTTCAGAGTCAGAGGCTAAGGGAATTTGGGGGGCATTATATTTCTTAGGGATAGAAAAAATATATCTTCATCTTGGAAAGTAGGAGCTAGGATTCTTAGATTTCATCCACAGTTGATTTATCACGTTTTCCAAATAGGTTGTCCTAATGAAGTAAGGACATTTTGCTGTGATTTAGTTTACCTGCCTGTGAATTTTAAGGATTTTCCCAAAGTATCTATTACACAAGAAAAAAATCTCAAAGGAAAAAAAAAACTCTTCCCCACCCCCAAGAAAGAGGAATCATCTCCTACCTTGTGACATCTGACTTACTCCAGTTCTAGGCTGCTAAGTAGCTCCTACCAAACTTTTCTCAGACCAAGAAGACTTTCATACTACACCTTCTAACTCTGACCCTGTTGCTTCAGGACAAAGGAAAGACTGAATAGCTTCTGTTAAGAGTTTAGTTATGTGGCCGTTTCGTATAGGAGAAACATTAAACTGTCTTAAATTTTTAAAGAACCTGCTTCAAACACCTGAACTGATACCGTATGTTTATAAACTCCCAAGCCAAAGATGAGGGAATAAATCAGCTTCTGGTTTTGTTTTGCTTCAGCATTAGATGCACAGCAACTGTGAGAAGTTGACATATTATCCCTTTAATAGACACTTTGGAAGAATATAAAAAAGTAGAACAGTCCATAACTGAATGTATAATGAAGTTAGGGAGACCAAACAAATACATAGGAAATGACTCAAAATTCTGCATAAGCAATATGTATTCAGGTAAGAGAATGTACATAGAAACTCATAAGAACTAAGGGTGTAGTGTCCTTCTCAGTCACTCCTTTCGGAGCTCCCCAAGCGTTAGTTTTTCTGAGTGACCTAAAGTATAAAGTACAAGGCAGAACTAAAGTTGGAGCTTCCTGTTTTTTAGTCCACCCACTGTCCCATCCTTTCTTTTATACTCTAAGGCCTATTGCTTCTTTCATTTCTCACTTTTCTGGGGAGAAGGAAAGGTTCAAGGCTGAAACAGCTTGTAAGGAAGAAATGTTATGACTTTGGAAAGCACTGGGCTTAAGCTCAAGCAACCATTCCTTAGAATTGAGGTCCAGTGAGCAAAAGTTAAGCATTTTTCATTCAGCTCCGAGAATTAGGTGTCTTCCAACTTTTTAAGGCTGGAGAGAACAGCCAGACAAGAGGCAAGAATGCTTATACCAGGTCTTTTGTGATCTGTTCCAGATGAGTATGTGGCCAGCCTACACCTGCCCACCTTTGATGCCCACCTGACCGAGCTGACAGATGAACAGGCCAAGTATCTGGGGCTCAACAAGAATGGGCCCTTCAAGCCTAATTACTACAGGTGCCTTGGACTCCCCATAAAATAGGGAAGCCTGAGTAGTGATGAGCTTCCTGCACTGGAATTGGTCTTTTCATCCATCACCATATTTACATGAACTCAGGAAAATAAACCCACTCCCCCTCACTACCACCCCCAAAGGATTCTCTGTGGCCTTCTCCAGACATTAAACAGTGTTCCCTTTCCTGAATTTGCCACTTCATCTTCTTGATATGATGTTTACCCCTGTATGGAGAAAAGCTGGCCTTCTTCATTGATGTGAAAAAGCACCACATTTATCTACCCTCACCATGCACTGCAGAAAAGTCCCTGCCTCCCCATTATACCTTTAGGCCGGCTCTTCATGTCCCAGCATCCCCACAAGCTGATAACATCACAGTCTCATCTTTCTTTTTTCCTGCAGGTATTAAGTTCCTGTAACTCAAGCCAGAAGAAGTTTTAAGGAATAGAACTCCAAGTCTTTTCTCCACTCCTATACAGGAAAGAACCCAGCAAGCTGCTTCTCCGATCAGCTGCCTGCCGTGCTCACCCTATATGTTAGGTTATTTATTTATTAACCTAAATAATAAATGTCGCCTTGGCCCAGAGTGTGGTGGCTGTCCTGAGGGCTGTGAGAGCCTCAGAGGACAGGCTGAGGAAGGAAAGAAATGGGGTTCCCAGTGGATCTTTTGAGTCATTCCCCATTGACTTGGAATCCTCAGCACTGGTCATTGTTCTCTTGTCCAGGCTCAGGAGTTAGTCCATGGATTCCAGACTCTCCTTCTCTGAGGTTTTCTGGAATAAATTTTTAGCAGCTGCCTTTCTCAGCTTGGGCCCTTCCCCAGGTGAGGCCTTTTGGAAGCCACTGAATTAACATGGCCTGGGTTCCCAGCCTTGACCATCACTATCACTGCCTTCTTTATAAAATGGAAGGAAGGAAGGAGTGCTGTGGCTTTGGCAAGCTACACAAAGAACTCAGCTGTGCCTCTGTTTCCTGGGAGTCTCCTTCCTTACCCAGGACTCCTTTCTTCTCCTTGAATATTTATGTCCATTTTAACAATTTCAGTTTCCAAGAGGAATGTGCCTCTGTTATTTCCTCAACAGCTCTGATGTTTATCAGACATTTGTTTTGCCCTCTTTCTAACCCAACTAGCCTCTGCTCAGGAAGTGAGGGCCAGCCCCACTGGGGCCCATAATTTTACTTCCTTGTCGTTTAACTGGATAGTTTCCCAGGAAGCTCCCTACAGATTGGCACTGTCTCAGAAAAGGAGGCTTGTTGTGAAACACTGCTTCCTGAAACTTCCTCCTATTGCCTAAAACTCCTTCTGAAACTGAGCAGGGAAAGGCTTACTTCCCAAGGGATTTGGGAGAGCAGGGCTTCAGAAATGCAACAGATCTTTCAGACCCACAGCTCAACACCCTAAAGAAGCAGATTATATTTATTTGTCTCCTGGGAAGGGCTTTGCAGCTTAACTGGCTAAGCTATACAGAGATGACACCATAAACTGAATCTAGATGATCAAAGCTAGTTTGACTAGTTTGAACCTCATCAGACATTCATCCCTTTGGCCATTGCCATTGGATATGAAACTGAGATCTAACATCTCTGCAATTTGGTCTGTGGTCTTTCTTCTCTGCTGGGATATCTTTTTATGTTCTGGCCATCTTGGGATTCTGTATTCCAGAGGTAATTTCTTGAGTAACTCCAACATTACAAAAAATGTGTAACGTGATCAGCCTGAAATTTTGTGTCCCACCTAAGAGTTGGATTCCTTTTAGAGACTGACCTGTTGGTCTTAAGGGTTCCATTGGGACCAGATTGGTTCTAAGAGTTAAAGTCTGGAGTGGTCCTAGGAATCTTGAATGAAATGAGACCTTTTTCCCCCTGCCAACCCTGTTTAACACTCTCAGTTTTGTTTTCCCACTTTTCCCCTATCCTGGTCTGCCTCAAAGTCTCAAGACCAAGGTGACCCAAGGAAACACCAGACCACCCACGATCACCATAACCTTCCCACCCTAATTCTGCTCTCCGATTTCTACCTTCTCCAACTTCTCCTGGTCTTCACATATACCCACAGAGCTAGTCTGGAAGTGACCTTCCCTTTGGAGGTAGGGAGGTGGATCTTAGGTAAATGGTTGTTTGCCTCACTAAATAGTACACAGTCTCAGCCCATAGAATCTAGTTCCTCAGAGGCCGTATGTCTTAGCAAGTACTGGAAAAATGCCACATGCGTGGCTCTATTCTTTCATGGAGAAGATCATAAATGCTGAAAATCCCACTAGGCCATTCAGTTCTTCCTTTTGCCCACCCTGTTCTGGCTTTTGTATTAATTAATTGGATCCCTTTAACAGAAGATTCAGAAGATGAAATTTGTGTCTCATCTTATATCCAGAGAAGATTCAATTAGGCAGATATCTGGACTGTAGCTTATTATGTTCTTAAGCCAAAATCATAACCTGCTATTTCTCAGCAAAGCCTGGCTGCCTGTGGAGCTTACTATGTGCTGATCCTGACAGAACATACCCTGCCTTGAGAATGTGAAGAGACCCATATTCCAAATGAAAAAGAGCCACACTGGGCTTCTAGGTTAGGTTGCCCATGTTGCTACCCATGGTGAGGTATTTGCCTCTGAGTTTCAGGTGACCACTCTTCATTTCTTTCTGGGGACTCTGTGTCATAACCATTAAGGAAAAGGAGGTCCAGGCCTCCTGAGTATTTGGGTTCTACCTTGGTGTTGGAATTTGGTCGTTATTCTTTCTGCCCGTGTAATCAGAACAAATGCATCTTCTTCCCTCGAACTCTCACCCTAGATGCATCATAGGTATCTGGAAGCATGGGAAAGAAGACTAATTAGCTCTTTATATGTGGCCCTGGCCTGTGGGGAATCTTACCATTTTCTCTGCAGTGAATTTGTGCTAGTTTTCAAGGTTTTTTGCCTTCTTAATGGAAATACTGTTTTCTTTTTCTCATTTAAAAAAAAAGTATCTGGTCTACCTTTCCTCTGCCCTCCTACCTTCTCATCCTCCCCTCCCATATGAGCACGGCTCCCCATGGCCACATACTCCTGCAAAGCTTTTTTGCTGCTTGGCTTTTCTCTGAACAGATCTGAAATTGCTGCTCCTGTGGTTTTCTCAAAATTAACTTTGTCATGGTTTTAAAAAAGAAATCAAAATGCATTGTTGCATTAAGCTTTTTTAATAAAGGAAAATTACAGGAAAAAATAGGCAACACCAGCAAATTATATGTGGACAAGTTCTAAACTATATATACATACATATATATGTAAAATCATCTAGTTCTCATTGTCATCTTACTGAAAGGAAATAAAACCTCTAAAGATTGCCATATCTGAGAGGCTCTTGGAAATCTTTATGTCTAAGTGATTGTATTAGATCAGCAATAATGAATATGTAATCTCAAAAGATAAATAAAATATTCTTAAAATGGATTCTTGTACTGAGAGTATTCCTTGCTTCAGTGAACTAGGAATTTAGAGATGAGAGAGGCTTCTGGGCAACAGGCTAGAGAGCCTGCTGTAGTGCAAGGATGTGAAAAGCTGAAGCACTTACCAATAGGCATGTTTAAGTATCCTTAGCCTTGAGTCCCTTGTTCCATGGTGGGTCATTCCACTCATAAATATCACCCTTCCCCCACTGCTCACCCCGTTATGTGTATAAAGAACCTGCTTTCGTAAAGCGACCACTCTGGGGGAGTTGAGAAGTATAGGCTTAAGGCAGAGAAACTAAAGCTTGGTTCTTGGTCCCCCAAGCCCTCTGTGTGCTGCCATAAACTAGAGAGCACAGAAAGGCAGCCTCCTGTGGTTTGGGACTAAAAGACCCTGACTACAGGACCTGACTATGACATCTAACCAAAGAGAAGAAAGAAAGGAATCTATCAGAGAATTGTCTCTAAGTCAGGTTTTGCCTGAGTAAATCATAACCAGAGGATGAGTCCAACTGCCTGTTTTTTCTCAACTACCAGTAGAGTGGCCATTTTTGAGAAATAGCTACTAAAGATAGCCACTTTCTTTAGTTGACAACCTAAACAAGTTCTATATCCTGTATGCAAGATGTTTTCTTCCCTATCAGAATCTCATGCCACTTTGACTTCTGTTTGTCTAAACTAAGGGCCACAGGGCTGGAATAGCCTGGGCAATTGGTAATGGTTCAAAGGTGGCCCATTCTCAAAGGAGAATGCAGCAGCTAGCATGGAGCCTGTAAACCAGCTGACAGGATTTGCTCCACTACAGCAAGGTTGTTTTCTTTTTTGTTTTTTTGCAGTACGCGGGCCTCTCACTGCTGTGGCCTCTCCCATTGTGGAGCACAGGCTCCAGACACCCAGGCTCAGCGACCATGGCTCACGGGCCCAGCCGCTCCGCGGCATGTGGGATCTTCCCGGACCCGGGCACGAACCCCGCGTCCCCTGCAGCAGCAGGCGGACTCCCAACCACTGAGCCACCAGGGAAGCCCTACAGCAAGGTTTGACTCCTCTTTTGTGAAGGATGGAAACTTGAGTGCCTTGGTCTTAATTTCAGATTCACAGGGTAATCCCAGGCTGCCCACTGCTGTGCAGTTTCTCAATCTCGTGATGTTGTGGAAAGAGCTTGGAGTCAGGCTGACTTGACCAGCTCTACCATTTACAAGTTGTGTGACTAGGCCAAATTATATAACCATTCAGAGCCTCAGTTTTCTTGCCTGTGAAATGGATAATGCTTATCTCCTAGAGTAAAGATTTAATGACCTGATTTAATTTTTAAAATACTGCTTACAGACCCAGCAAACACTAGGTACTACATAAATATCGATTCCTTGTCTCAGCCTAGGGCCCTACAGACCCAGCAAACTAGGTACTACATAAATATCGATTCCTTGTCTCAGCCTAGGGCCCTACAGCCTGAATTGCCTCATTACACCCACATGTGCTCTTTATAGGGCAAAGAGGGTATTTTATCCTTTTTCTATTGTACTATTCTATCCTGGCTGCCTGATACCCTCAAAAACTAGGTATTTTAAGACTTCCTGCAATCTTATTTTTAAGCTTTTTCAATGCCAGGTGTTATCTATATAATCACATATCCAACCTCTGGATTAAAGTGGAGTGCTTATATGGGGAAAGGGGTCTGTTTGGTCTTTGTAACTATACCTATTTATACCTCTAGCCCTCTGCCAGCAGCTTCAGAATACCTGAGTTTGGGGACAAGGGTAAGTGGTAGTGTAGGTTTAAAAATAATTCCACACTGGAGCCATCTCTGCAAGATGTGGACCAGTCCCTAATTAGCTCCAAGGTATATTTATGGGTACCTCTGTGGTCAGTGGTGTTGATGGCTGTCACTTCTTTGTTGACAAATAAGCTAAAAGAAATTGAGTGTGTGCCAATTACATGGCCCAGAGTTTCAAAGTTTTCAGTTAATCTGTGGTTTCTTGTTACTTCTTCCAGTAGTTGTTTCTGGATATCTTCCTCCTTATGATAAGCTCTGAAAGTCTGGGCCTCTAATGATTAGATAGATGTCTGATCTTTACTGGCTCCCATTCTACTGCAGTGTGGAAAAGATACTGGATTGAGGTCTCTCCCCATGTTGATTCTTTGCAATCTCCATAGCACTACTTTTTTAAACCCCATCTCCCAAAGTGAAGCCAGATGGAGCTCTAGGCTCAGCAAATGGTTTTACATAAAGGCCAGAGGGGACTTGAGAGCTGTTGTCCTCAATTCTACTCCCAACTGAAGATTACTCTGCTCCCTTGGCCCTAGGGATAGGTTGGAAAAAGAACAAAACCTCAAAAGTAGCCACTCCTGTATGTCACCATTGTTGGGGATCCTGATGATTGACTAGGCTCACAAAAGAATATGCAGTTCTGGGCTTGTCAATGCTAGAGCTCTGACTGCTTAGGAGGAGATGTACTGGGAGGAGGGAAGGTAGAAAATTATTTTATTAAGAAGCCCCAATGGGCTGTGCTGTGGCAGGTTTGCCACACTGAAGCAGTGATGAGCTAGGTGTGGGTTGTGAATTTTAAAGCAGAGTATGAATCTTTAAGAGTTTAACAAAATTATACCCTGAAAAAAATTCCAAAATCAAATAGTTTAGGCCTTGAGCCAGAGACTTTCTTAGAAATTCATATCAATTCAATTCTGTTTAAACCAGTGGGTCTCAACCACAGAAGATTTTGCCCCCCGCAACCCCACCCAGGAATATTTTGCAATATCTGGAAACATTTTTGGTTGTCACAGCTAGGGGGAGGGTACTGCTGGCATCTTGTGAAGAGAGGCCAGGGATTCTGCTAAACATTCTACAGTGCACAAAACAGCTCCCCACGACAAGACATTTTTCAGTCGATAGTACAGAAGAAACCCTGTGTTAAACACACAGAAATGAGCAATACACAGATGAACAATAGCTACTCTCAGAGAGCTTATATCCAGGTTGAGGTGGGTGGGTGGTGGGAATGGGAGAGGAAAGGGAAAATTGTGGGTGGGTACAGTAAGGAGATGTTGGAGACCAGGGAGAGAAAGGAACTCAGAAATCTCCAAGGAGTGCTCACTCTCAACTCTGCCTTGATCTGTCACCTACTAATTAGCAGAGGAAAGTGTGAGGGAGAGATATGATACAAGAAGGGGGGATAATTCCTTTGGGCCCCTTACTTTGAGGATATAGTAGAAAATATAAGGATTGTGGATCCAGGCAGACTTGGCTGACACCAGCACAGCCTGAGTAGGTTGATGAGGGTCAAAAGAAAGGCTTTCTGGAGGAGGAGGTGATGACTAAATAGAATTTTAAAGGAAGAATAGAAGTTAGCCAAGAGAAGAGCAGAGTTTCCTCCAGTGAGAGACACTGAAACAAGATATTAGAATATGATACCTTGGGAACTGCAAGCAAGGAGTAATTAGTCTCTGAGAGTCCCGGTTTCCTTGTCAGTAATATTGGATTAGTGAAAACAACCTGTAGGAGAGATATATCTGGAAAGAGTCTAGTGCAATGCCTGGAACAAAGTGGCAGTTCAACAATCCCCCCCAACTTGTTTGGGGCTTCTATTACTATCCCAGACTGCACACATATTTACTGTAAGATGCTTTTTTTGGTAAATTCGAAAGTGGGCAAACCACACAGCCTCATTTGCCCCAGGTAACACTGAGCCCTTAGGAAGGATCTTAGAATGAAGGAAAGGACTGGGGAACAGGTGGCGCTGGGGATTTGTTCTCCAATCAACTTTTACTCCCTAGCTCACACCATGAGGAAGATGCCCCCCTTCAGCAGAGAAAGGCAGATAGCCAGGAACAGCCCGGAAAGGCACCAGCAATTTCAGTGAAGTAAAAACGCCCCACTCCACCCCTCAACCACCAGTCTCCCAGTCAAGCCCTCACTCCAAGTGGAATGAGTTCGCCTCTGAAATCTCAGCTTCCAGAGAGGGAGAGTCGCTCGTTTCCTGCGGTGTCCCTGGCCACCCGGCGGTGCCATCCCTCCCCTTCGACTGAAGCGGGGTTTGGAAAGTATTCAGGACCCAGGACTTGGGGGCAGAGGTCTGTGATACTGGGGAAACGAAGACTGCAGTGGAGCAGCAGGAGGAGACTAGAGCTCCCCCAAACGGTCGCTATTTGGGAGGGGGTGAGGGCTGAGGGACACCTAGTGAGAAGCAGAGCTGACCACCTAGAGCTCAAGGCCCAGGACGTGGGAGGTGGAGCTAAGAGCCGACCCGGGAGTGTCAGGCTACCAGCGCCGCCAAGGGAGTGGGAAAAAAAAATCCCTTGAATGAGCCCCCTCCAAGTCCCGCTCAGAGAGGTCGAACAGCCAATCACGCTGCAGGGTGGGGCTGCGGAGAAAGGTCTCAACCAATAGCTGTGGAGGAGGCGGGGCCTAGCTCCCGGCGCGCGGCGGCTGTGGGGTAACCCCTGGCAGAGAGCGCAGAGCGGCAGAGGGGAGCTGCTGAGGAGAGCCGCATGGAGGACCCCGCGGCACCCGGGTCCGGGAACCCGCCTGCCAATGGCTATGGCAACGGCAACGGCGGCGGCAGAGGGAAGCCGGCGGCGCCTAAAGGCCGGGAAACGTTCAGAAGCCAGCGGCGGGAGTCGGAGGTGAGGAGCCCGGAGAGCTTTCAGTTGGGGCCGGGAGACGCCCGGGGCGAGAAGCGTTGGCTGAGGTGTTTCGGTCGCGTCCCCCTCCGCCGCCGGGAGACCCCTGCGCGCCCCGTGCCGCCTCTCGGAGCGGGCGCCTGCGGGGCCCGCCGCAGCCTGAACTCCGGACTCTGCAGCCCCTGACCCTCTCCGCCCGTCTCCTGGCGCGGGTCTGGGGCTTTCTAGCCCTCTGGCCTCCCTCGGGGGGCGCGAAGATAGAGCGTGATATCCAGCGTCCCGGATACTTCCACATATTTATCTCACTTAATCGCTGTAGCCCCCCGGAGTGGTAATTCGTAAGGCCGATTTACGGAGGAGGAGCAGGCGCGGAGAGGTGAAGTGAGTGGCCTGAGGGGTGGGAGGCCGGAGCTCGGCCGCAGTGAAAAGGGGCCGGCGTGGGGGCAGCCGCCCTCCCACCCCGAGGCGCCCCTAGCCGAGCAGAGCAGCCGCGTGACTTGGGCCCTTCCCCTTCCCCCCGTGTGCTGGCGAGCCCTTGAGGGAACACTTTCCATGGACATCAGGCCCCCTCCCCGTAAGGGTTAATGATACAGGAATCAGACGGGGCAGTACCGGAGCGAGTGGATGGACCCCCCCACCACCACCACGATACAGACCCACAGAGAGGAGTATGAATGTTCCCTCTTCTTAAAAGAAACCCTAACTAGGAGGATGAAAGGAGTGAATTAACATTCACTCCAACCCCCTCATCCAGCCAGCTTCCATCAGCTAGCCAAGAGCAGAACCGGATCTGAGCAGGGAATCAGACCACAAAATGTCAGGTGTGGAAGGGTCTGTAGAGGTCACCGGGTTTTAGCCCTTGCTTTGACGGAAGTGGGAGACAGAAGTAGCTTGCCGAAGGTCATACATCTAGCACAGTGGCCAGGGGTACCAGGCTTTGGGTTCAGTCAGAGCAGGTTTTGAGGTTTTGAATCCCAGCCCTACCATTTACTCTCGGTGTGACTTTTGGCAGATTGCTAGCCTCTGAGCTCCAGTTTCTTCCTCTATAAAATGAGGTTAATACTACCTGCCACAGAAGGTTGCGATAAGGTCAAAATGAGATAATTGAATGTGAAATGTTTAATTCAGTGCAGGCACGGTGCATGTAGTTTGTTAGCGCACAGTAGCTCTTAGTACTATATTATCATCATCATCAAGGGACAGAACTGGTAGTAGAAGCCAGATCTTAGGCATCCCAGTCCACGGTTTACCATTTGAATTGTATTTCAGTTTCAAAGGGATTTCATGTATGCTTTCCATTTTGATACAGACAAGCAGGAATCCATCCCATTTTATAAAAGAGAGAAGTGGAGGAGGTGAAAAGACTGGCCCAAAATCACACCACCTTTCAGAGGCAGAGCTCAGCTCTCCTGCCATACTGGATCAGGGTTTTATGCACCATATCATCTCCCTCCCTGCCTCAGTACGTGAATCTGGCCTTTTAGGGCACCCTGTTTCTCCTTCCCCCATAGAGACATCGTTCTTGTTCAGATGGTTTTTGGGGGGTGGGGCAGGGGGATGAGTCTTTTATTAATTCAACAGTTGTTGAGTTCTTTCTATATGCCCAGCACTGTTTTAGGTGCTAGGGATACAGAGGTCTCTCCACAATCGGGGTGGAGAGACAGTGTGGGAGTGAATAAAATAACTTCGGAATGATATGTTCTATGGGTGAATTAAAACTCCTCTTGAACCAGGAGGCCTTTTCCCTACCTATCAAGTCTTCCTTCAGGAAGAGGCTCTGATAGTTTTACTCTTGCCAGTGAGTTCAGTATCCAGAGACTCAGAGCTTTCCACCTGCACCACAGTTTACTGCCTGATTGTCTGCAGCTGCACTTTTCATGTGGAAATGAACAACTGCAGTGATCCTCACCATCTGAGCTTATTGCCTGCCCAAAGGTTGGCCTGAAACATTAGCTTTCCTTCACCTTCCACTGCAGCAGGAGAGCTGCCCTTACCTGTCAGTACGTCCCCTATCACAACACCCAGGGGCCAGACTCTGCTTGACTCTCAGATAGATGACTATCTGCTTTTCCTTCCCTCCCTCCTTTTGCATTCCTGTGGAAAACAGTCCTGGATGTTTTTCTTTCCTCTCTAGGGCTTCAGGAATTACTGGAAGAGAATTACTATTGGCACAAGTCAACAGAGCCTCGTACATCAGTGTGTTTATAGGGGCACCGTTGACCTACCCTCTCCCAATGGCTTAGTGTTTGGATATCCTAACCTTAAAAGGAAGCTAGAGAATGATTGTTTGCTTAATAAAAAGATTCTTAACCTAACCAAAAGATTCACCTCAGACCTCTTACAGCCAGATTTCTTGCTTCAGGTCGTTCCCAAAGTCCTTGACAAAGTTTAACTGGTTTGTAGCAAAATGAGGAAAATTCAAGGCATTGAAGTGAGTTTTTCATAAAATGTAGTTCAATACGTTAAATTTAAAGGATGTATGTAATTTAAAACAATGTTTTTCAAACTGTAGGGAGTAACCTGTGAGTTGAGACCAACATTTTTTTAAAGAAATAGACTAATTGGAAGTACTGGTTTATCACATATAGTAGTGGTAAATATTATCTTGTTAAACTTCTGTTCCAGTTTTGTGTGTGTTGGGACATGACGTAAAGTTTACTTATACTTTGACTTACAGGCAAAAAAAGCTTCACTGCTTTTAATGGCTCTTATTCCGATATTTTGTCTTTTGCATTTTGCGGGTATTAAACGATTTTTTAAAATTATATATATATTTAAGAGATTTTTAAAGTTTCTACTTAGAAAATAAAACATCAACAACCTTATGTCATTCTCCACCATCCACCTTTTTTTTTCCTCTTACTGGTCCCTGTAATCCAGAAGTTTAGAAATCTTTGCTATAGTGGATTTAAACATGAATCACCTTTTTGGCAGTATAAATTCATAAAGTGGTTTTGGAAAACAACTTGTCATGTACAAAGAGCCATACAAATAGTCATAAGGTTTGATGCATTCATTCCCGTTATAAAAATCTGTCAGAGAAGATCCTAAATATGAAAAAAAAATTATAAATGTATTACAGCTTCATGTATATAGGAAAGAAAAATTAAAAACAAATGTTCAACAGTAGAGAATTGGTTAAGTAAGCCAATAGATATCTGTCCACTTAACTGTTTGTTTATTTTTTATTTATTTATTTATTTGGTTGTGCTGCACAGTTTGTAGGATCTCAGTTCCCCCACCAGGGACTGAACCCAGGCCGTGGCAGTGAAAGCCCAGAATCCTAACCACGAGGCCATCAGGGAACTCTTCTCTTAGCTGTTTAAAGTGACAGTTATAATAATATGAGACAGGGACTTCCCTGGTGGTCCAGTGGCTAAGACTCCATACTCCCAATGCAGGGGTCCCTGGTCAGGGAACTGGATCCCACATGCATGCCACAACTAAAGATTCTGCATGCCGCAACTGATGATCCAGCAAACTGCAACAAAGATCCTGCATGTGGCAACGAAGATCCTGTGTGCCACAGCTAAGACCCAGCGCAGCCTAAATAAATAAATAAATAAATAAATATTCATTAAAACAAAAGTAAACCTTTATCTTTAAAAAAATAATAATAGTATGAGAAAAATGCCTTTATAATATAATATTAAAATCATAAGTAGAGTAAGTAAAATTCTTAGAGTAACCGTCCACATAGTGCTACCAGGTGCTGGATTGTGTGCTAAGTGCTTTTCCTCTATTATCTCATTTAGTCCTTACAATGACCCTATGAATTATCCTCATTTTACAGATGAGAAAACTGAGTATGTTATTTTCCAACAATTCCCTGGTATCAATTCAGTTCTGACACTACCCGTAGTTAGCACAGACCCCACAAGTTAAGGGCTCAGTCCTACAAGACTGCCCCCACTTCAGATGTCAGCCACAGTGGAATCCCCAGACTACCTGCACTTCTGCCTGGCCAACTACAGATTCAGGGGTTACCATGACTGCCCCCCTCAGGTTCGATAGATTGCTAGAACAACTCGCAGAACTAAGTGCTATATTTATGACTACAATTTTATTATAAAGAATACAACTCGGGAACAAAATGAAGAGAGGCATAGGACAAGGTATGGAGGTGGAGTGGTGCAGAATTTCCATGCCCTCTCTGCGGCATTACCCTCCTAGCACATTGGTGTACCCAAGTCACGTTGTTTCAGTGTTTTTTTGTGTTTTTTTGCGGTACGCGGGCCTCTCACTGCTGTGGCCTCTCCTGTTGCGGAGCACAGGCTGCGGACATGCAGGCTCAGCGGCCACGGCTCACGGGCCCAGCCGCTCCGCGGCATGTGGGATCTTCCCGGACCAGGGCACGAACCCGTATCCCCTGCATCGGCAGGCAAACTCTCAACCACTGCGCCACCAGGGAAGCCTCAGAGTTTTTATATGGAGTTTCATTACCTAGGCATGGTTGGTCAAACCACTGGCCACTTGATTGAACTCAGTCTTCAGCCTCCTCCCCTCCCTGGAGCCCCGTTTTTGAAACTCTCACTCTAAGTCACCTCACTAGCATAAACTCAAGTGTGGTTGACAGGAGCTCCTTATGAATAACAGGCACTCCTACTACTCAGGAAATTCCAAAGGTTTTAAGAGCTCTGTGCCAGGAAGGTGGGTGATGGGGCAAAGACCAAATACATTTTTTATACTACACTGAGGCACAAAGAGGTTAAGTAACTTGTTCAACATCACATAGTATGTGACAAGACCTGGGATTCAAATTTTTTTTAATTCACATTTATTAATATATTGGTAGGAAAAATCTATTCCAAAATGCTTAAAGAGGTTCGGGTGTAGGATTATATTAAAAATACTTTTAAAAGGGTATTATAAATTTATACATACAACATCATAGGAAATCTAGCCTTTAGTACAATTTGAAGTAGAAATGCTACCTTATTTGACAGTCCTAAAATTGTGGAATATTGGAACTAAGGACGTCTTTTTATATGTGAGGAACTATGATCCACAGAATGAAATCATACAAAATCGTACAATGAGTTAATGACAGAGCTGAAGTCAGAATCCAGTTTACTTCTTTTGTTTTCATCCGTCTTGTTTTTCTAGAGATCAGCTAGATGTTCTTCAGGTCTGTGTTTATGTAGATCAGATATGGGCACAGATTGTAGCTTTCATATCTGTTCATGATCCTGGTCCTTTGCCCAGAGTTTCTGATTCTATATAGGAATCTTCAGCCCGGCCCCACACTGAGCCTGTAATTTTGGCTTGGAGGAGGGTACTTCTTGGATGAAAGGCCCAGATGGAACTCTCCTAGTTGCCTTCTTCCTCTAACTTTGGCCTCCAAGAGAGGTGGAAAATGAAATGAGGGTGTGATCTCCTTTTGTCAGCCTTTTTCCCAAGTTACCACAAAGATTTCTCCATTACAGGGCTCTGTGGACTGCCCTACCCTGGAATTTGAGTATGGAGACACAGATGGGCACGCAGCAGAGTTGTCAGGTATGAGATAGATGGGTCTGTAAAGAGTGGAAGGTTGGCCAGGAGGAGAGGGAAGATGCCTGTGCTTTCCCCTGGCAGCTTGTCTGTTCTCAGCAAGTGGCTATAGAACACAGACTGTTCTCCACATTCCCACTTGTCTACACCTTCCAGTGGTCAGTATCTCTTTGTTTGCTTTCACATTTCTTTCTGTGAATGCTTCCTTGGCTATGTATGGCATTCTCCATTCTTTCATTCTATCCCTGTTTTCCGCTCACCCTTCTTTATTCTCTTTTGGTGCACTCTGAAATCTGTTTTCTCTCCACCTTCTCCCCATTTCTCCTTTCTTTCTCTTCCCATAGTCACCCATATCTTTTGGGTGCCCCTTTCTGCCACCCACTCCATTGCTTTCCCATTCCATCTCTCTCTCCTTTTCTTTTCTACCTCCATCTCACCCCCTTCCCCTAATACTTGCTCCTTATTAAAGTCTCAGCAATGTCTGAAGAAAAACTGTGTAGACAACTGGCCAGCTGAGCAAAGCTGAACATGTCATCTTTATCCATCACAGTGGAGCTCTGCTTGGATGTTTCTGAGCTGGGGTTGAGTGATCCCATTCTTCTTTCAGTGCTGGACTGCTTCTCTCTGGATTTTTAGCTTGGCTAAAGGTGATCTCCTTGCATTAAGGGCCTCCATGTTACACATGCTACAAATGCCAATTATTAATAAATGAGCTTTGGGTGGAAATTATGTGAAAGTTAAATATTCTGTCACATGAAAGTGACACTTTAAGACAGGCTTTTTCAGAGAAAAGAGACAAACGCTTTTAAAGAAGTTCTTGTGAATAAGCATAGGGAATAAATTTTGTGATGAGTGACGGAAATAGAGAGCTAAGTTTAATAACTAACCAAGGGTTAGAATCCAGAATATGAATACACACACACATAGAGAAAGAAATGAACATCCCAATAGTGACTATAGATAAATGGTCAAAGAATATGAATAGGAATTCACAGAACAGAAAACCATGTGGTCAGTAAATATATGAAAAGATATTCAATTATGTTAGGAAATGGGGAAAAAAATTAAAATGGTGAGATATTATTCAACAATCATCAGATGCAAAATTTTAAAGCCTGGGGTTGGTGAGGGTACAGAGAAATTAGTACTTTTTATACATGGCTTGGCATGAGGGAACAGAGTATAGAATTGGAAAGCAGTTTGGTTATATCTAGCAAAGTCGAATTCACACGTATTATGACCCAATGATTCTAGATGTACACTTTAAAGAAATTCTTGGGCCCAAGAAAACACTTACAAAGATGTTTATTGTCGCCACTGTGAAAAATTGAAAACAACTTAGTAGGGGAATGGATAAACTGCAGTATATCAATATATTAGGCTACTGTATAGTCATTAAAATAATTGATCTATATCAATATGCTTCAGTGTCAATAAATATTAAAAACATATTAAAGGGGAGAAGAAACAGTGACAAAATAATTTATACAGGCATCAAAAAAACTGCTTAAACACACAAGTCTAAAAGATGTTTCTAGGAAGTCTAGTTGCACACTTGATTGAGAACCGTGCCAAGTGAATGGATGTGTTCATCACACTGCTTTTCATATAAACTATTGAAAGACATAATAAAAAATGCTTCTAAGAAAAAATAATTTATACAGTATGATACTGCTTGGATAAAAACTTGAAAAACAGAACAGTATCATGTGTTGTTTACAGGCACATAGATATGTACTAAAAGTATAAAAATAGGCATGTGAAGCATACATACCAATTTCATCATAGTGATTATCTCTAGAGAGGAAAATAAGACTGGGAAGGAAGAAGGGACTTTAGCTGTCTGAAGCAAATATGACAAGTGTTAACATTTGTTTAATCTGAGTAGAAGATAAACACAGTGTCTTTTATGTATTCTGTATTTACCTGTAGTATATGAAAGTTCATGATCTAAACTTTAACAATAAGACAAAAGCAAAGTTCAGTACCTAAGAGCCTTGCTCCCTGTTTTAACTGGGTTTGTGCTCTACTCTTAAAATATATATATCTACACTACTCACTAATAACTGAAGAATTTAACAAACAGAGCTGGGATTTGTTTCTGGTCACTCCAGGATTCTGGAACTCAGGACTCAAAAGCCCTGGCTCCCAGACAAGGTACTTCTTGACCATTAGACAGCTGGCTGGAATATAAGTGAATTTCTCTTGCTTTGTGAATTATCTGTGACCTAGTTAAATTTCCAGCAAGGGTCTTAGTTAGGGAACAGAGTTTTGAGGAAGCACCTATTGGCTTAATGACTTCACTTCTTCATCCTCTGTAAGGTGAGTGTACTTGTGTAATGTTGTGTGTGTGTGTGTTTAGGAAAGGGCATTTTTATTTCTCATAAGCTGTCTGCATTTTGTATTGAGAGGCTGCTGTCAGCAAAGTTAGATTTTCCTGGGCACAGGCTGCCCTTTGGCAGTCAAAGCTGCTTCTATATGGTTTGATTCTGCCTCTGCCTGGGTGGCCGTGGGCAGGAACATAAACTTCTGTACCCTTCGAGGAAACGCAGCAGGGAGAGAATGAACTGGCTCCTTGAATAGCACAAGGATCTTGCCTCTAAACTTCAGGAATTGTGTTGCCCCCTTTTTCCCTAGAGACAGGATTAGTCCCACTCTGGGTTGACAAGCAGAAGGGGTTGCAGCCCTAAGAGCCAGCAGTGATGACATTCAGCCCTCTCTGTTCCAGCCCTCCTCCTGGCCCTCACCAAATGTTGGAGCCTGCCTTCTCTGCTGTAGCAGCCAGCTGGCAGGAGGAGGACAGGTTTGATGGTTTAATCACCCAGGGACACAAGTGGCTATTTTTAACTGATCCGAAAAGGAGGAAGCTGACTCTGGATTGAATTGGACACAGGAATGTGTTGGAAGCTTTAGCTCTTTCATGCCACCTTCTCCACCCCAGGCCCCTTCTATAAAGATCTGCTGAACGTTTGTGACTCTGTCCTGTCTTTCTTGCCACAGAATTGTATAGCTACACTGAACACCCGGAATTCACCACTAACAGGAGGTGCTTTGAAGAAGACTTCAAGACCCAAGGTGATCCCAGATCCTTATTCATAGAGATCTGCTTTTTCTCTCCATGATATTCAAGGCTGATCTAGAAAAAGCCTAAAATAAAGTATGATCCTTCTTCATCCTCTCCATAGCCATATAACTTCTCTATTCCTTTTTGCATATGGGACACAGAGTTTCCTGTATCTCAAGTGGTGAGGTCACGGAATGGAAGCAAGAGAAGCCTGAACTGGGTCCCTTTCCCTGATGTCAAGGGCCCAGAGAACAGAGGAATGGGGAGGTGGGGCTGGACTGGTTCCCTGCTGCCTGGTAACCCTGTGCCCAGCCTAGTCTTCGACCTTAGTTTTCAATCCCTGTCTCCAATTCTGCCTCACTCCTCATAGCATCTGGTAATAATTTCATGTGCCCACCCTGTGATCCACTCAGACCTCCATTTCCTTACTTGGTCAGTGGCAATTCAGTGTTCAACTCAGCAAATGTGTGGTGAGTACCTATTTTGTGCCAGAGATGCAGGAGGCAGGGGTGAAGGTGAATTTACAGTATCTTTAAAGAAATTATAGTCAGATAGCAGAGATGTGTACATCACAAAACTAGCTGAGGCCAAGAGGAAAATGGGAAGTGTCATTAGAGAAGTAAAACATATCATGGGGGACAGAGCTTCTGGCTGGAGCATTAGTGGGAAAGAGGTGATTTTAGATTGAACCTGTAAGGATGAATAGGAATTGGATACATAGGGAGATAGAGGGAACTCCTTGAGGAAAGGCAGAGAGATAGAACCGTATAGGCTGGGGAGGGGGAAGCGGAAATGGAGGGGATGTGGAGGAAGATGAGGCTCTGGAGTGGGCCAGAACATTTGGGTTTTTTACTTTTCCCATCCCTTATTCTTTCTCAGCTAAACAAGGAAAGCTTTCGAAGAGAAGAATTTATTGGGGGGCTGAGATCAGAAGTACATATGCCATCATCAGGAGCCTTTCCAGGAAGGGGAGGCAATAGCTGACACTAGATCTGTATGGCCTTCTGTTCCCAGTACAGGGTAAGGAGTGGCTGGAGTTGGAGGAAGATGCCCAGAAGGCCTATGTGATGGGACTCCTGGATCGGCTGGAGGTGGTCAATAGGGAACGGCGACTGAAGGTGGCCCGAGCTGTTCTCTACCTGGCCCAAGGTGAGTGGCCAGCTTTGCCAACTTGAGAGGGGTGGACACTAGAGAGAGAGACGGTGTTAGCAGGACTAGGATGAGGCAAGCCACGCTGGGAAAGCAAGGTTCCTGTCTCTTGAGGACAGATCTTGTCATGTGCTAGAAGTAACCTTGTGCTTATGCGAAAGATGAGGAGATGAGGGTAGGTACTGTTCTGGATCCCTTGGAATCGGCCTTTCTCTTTCCAGACATGCCAGGATTTCTTATAGGGTTCTTTTTTTCCTTAGCCTGGGCTGTAATCCTATGTGGAGACTAGCAAGAGGGTCACTGTGGCCAGAGCTGACGGTGTACCACCAGCTGAGCATGGAGGTTTCTTTTACCAGCTGTGGCCTGGTTCTGACACTGAGAGGAGGCAGGGAGGGTGCCACCAATTTACACGTGGACCCGCTGCATTGTTTCTCATTGGCATTTAGAAGGTCTAAGCCAACATAGCAGGAGGAGTGGATGCTGTAAGTAATTTGGAGAATCAGAACTCAATGAGATTAACTGAGGAAAGCTTCCCAGAAGAGACCTGTTAGCCAGGTGTTGGAAAGAAAAATGAGCCTAGCTGGAGTAGTAAAAGAAAGCCCTGAGGTCAGAAATAAGAGGACTGTTGGCAGAACCAAGTAGTTGGGAGCTAAAAAAACTGTAGAAGAAAAATCATAAATGGAGAGGACAGAGAGTGGACATCTGGTGAAGGGACGACTGCAGTAAACAAGGCGGTGCCCAACCCTATCTTTTGGGTCTGGCACTCTGGCCAAGTTCCAGCTGCCAGTACCTTCATCTTTTTGCCTGAGGGCTTTCTGTGCAGCCCACATAGGGCAGCCAGGAAGTGCTAGGGAATTAATGTTCTCCCCTAGTCCAGCAGCATTCCTCAGTGACTGCCAGGGGTTAGTGGATGAGCAGCTTGACCACCTCACCCCTCTTGGGTGGGATGATTCTGAGTTGTTTGTTTTATGTTTTCCAGAGCTTCTCCCCACTTGGGATTGAGCTCTTGGCTGCCTTCTCTTCCCTATCTCACTTCCCCACTTCTCTACCAATGGTTCCTGGGGTCAACTCCCAAATAAACTACTTGCACTTGAATCCTTATTTCTGGATCTGTTTCTCAGGGAACTCAAACTTAAGATAGACCAGTGATCAGCACATTGGACCTAACCCTGGAGACTGCTTCTCCTCTCCCCTGCCTCATTCCAGGAAGTTCTGGGGGGCACTTGTCCTTTGTTAACCTAATTGTTGGACAGAGTGTTGGGAGATAGTCTTCAGATCATGGGGCAGGGTGGAAAGAACTGGGATAACCCCCTCCTCCTCAACCCCTGCGGCACTGTCTGATCCTTTAGGCACTTTTGGGGAATGTGATTCAGAAGTCGATGTACTCCACTGGTCCAGGTACAACTGCTTCCTGCTCTATCAGATGGGGACCTTCTCGGCCTTCCTGGAGCTACTCCACATGGAAATCGAGTGAGAAGCCTTAGGGGAGGGCTGGCGACCCCCTTCCTTGAAGGGTGCCTCATCTCCTATGCTGGTTCCCTCACTGTAGAGCCCTCTGTGAAAGCTGGGTCTATTCACACCTCCTCCAAAGCTCACTGACTGTCCCCCTCCATCCAGCCATGGTCTCTGATAGTCTGTCCTGCTCCATAAGGTTGGGCTCATTAGCAGGCTCTGCCCCACTTACAGCTTCAATCCTGGGCTTCAGGGGCCGATCCTGTATTGCTTTTGCATCCAAATACCTTCTTAGCTCAGCCTAACTGTGGACTCCATGAAGGAAGCTGTTCTACCTGAGAACATGACCCAGGATGGATGGGACCAATTCCTGTTGCTGTGCCCAGTTCTTTCCCTCATGGTTACAGCTCTAGAGGTGGCCTTATCTGCTGCTACCACTATAGTGACCCCCCATATTGTCTCATGCCTATCACCCAGGAGTTTTAGTGGGGCGAATTCTGTTTATTATTCACTAAGTGTTGCTTAGCATCTGTTTTGTGTCCAGCACAGTACTAAAAACAGCAGAGATTTTAAGAGGAGCAGATATCATAGGCCCTGCCCTTGCCTGTCTTCACCACAGATAAGGGTTTGTCTAGGTGGCAGGAGAATTCTATGGGCTTCTCTACCTTAGACCAATTTCTTTAGCTACATAGCTAGGGAATGGCAGGTACTCATGTTTGTGCATATGATAAGTGTGCAACATGGAGGTAAGAGGCCTTACGGGTTCCTGTTTCCTCCCTCATCCCTGTGGCAGCAACAGCCAGGCCTGTAGCAGTGCTCTTCGGAAACCAGCCATCTCCATTGCTGATAGCACAGAGCTCCGGTGAGTGGGCCTGCCCATGGGATTGGAACAGGGGATCGTTAGCAATGGGTTACCTTTGCCCAAATTTCAGATGCACCCAGGCCACTAGAAGTTGCTAATTCCACTGGGTTGGGCCACCACAGAGACCATCCCTGAGGTCTCAGACTATAGGTTGGAAACTGCCTTGGGAACCTCTTGTGACCCTTCTGTAACCTCAGGGTGCTGCTGAGTGTCATGTACCTAATGGTGGAAAATATCCGCCTGGAGCGAGAGACAGACTCCTACGGGTGGAGGACAGCCCGGGAGACCTTCCACACTGAACTGAGTAAGAAGTGGCACTCGAGGTGCCTGTGGCAGAGGGGAGGCATAGCATCTGCCTAGAAGAGACAGACAGTTCTTCTTCTTCGTCTTCTTTTTTTTTTTTTTGTAGAACTAACATCCCTTCTTTTAGGACAGAGATACTTTGTGGTGGGCTTGAGGGTCTGGCTTGATTGCCCCTGTGTCTATGAGCTAGGCCCAGTCATATGTCTTCTCTATATCTTGGTTTTGGTTTCCTTGGTTATAAATGGGAGTAGTCATCCCTCTCCCATTTGATCACAAATCGCACATGAAAAAAATGAGTTGACTTACCTTGAAAATATGAGTTGGTATTGTCATCAGTCAGGGATAAGATATGAAGGCCTTTGGGAGTTTAAAATATATACTATATTTGTTGATGTGGGAAAGTGAGTTGTGATCTACAAAATGCATTGAGTTCCTCAGCCAGGAAGCATCTTTATTACCGTTGATTATCTTTATTACTGTTACTTCTAGTTTATTATCCACCCCCAAGCTTTGGGAACTATGCCATTTTAACTCCATGACCTCCCTTATCCTGCCCTCGGGGGGTTCACTCTGGGAGCTCTCTAAGCCTCCTTCTAAGGACCAAGTACTCAGATTCTTTGCGGGAAGGTGAGTGCCTTCCTCAGTGTCCAGAAACAGGGTTACAGGGACTGGGTCTCAGCTGCTTCATCCTCACTTTCTCACTTGCCTCTCTCCACAACCCCCAGGCTTCTCCATGCATAATGAGGAGCCTTTTGCCCTTCTGCTTTTCTCTATGGTCACCAAGTTCTGCAGCAGCCTGGCTCCCCACTTCCCCATAAAGAAGGTCCTGCTTCTGCTCTGGAAAGTAGTCATGGTGAGTGGCTGATTCACCCCTCTCCCATTTCATCAGATCAGCAGTGCCCTCTGCCACCTCAGTTTCTTCTAGTCTGATTCCAGGAGGCTGGAGCTAGGCAGAAGAATAGGGCAGCTGTTAGCCAGTGGAGGGAGAATAAGGCTGTCCTAGAGAAATCAGATGTTCTGTTTCAGAGTAGGTTACCTATTTCTGTTGGACTGATGGGAGATGCCACTTTTTGAGTTGGGGTGTCATTGCACCTTCCCCTGGTAGAGCTAATGTTTCATGGGAAGAGCCCTGGCTGAGAGTTGGGAGATCTGGCCTCTGCTGATACTGAGAAACCTCGGGCAATTCTCTGTGTCTCAGTTTCTCTAGCTGTAAAATGTGGGGTTGAGTGCCTGCTCTCCATCCAGATAAATAGAGGATTTGCTTTTAAAAAATGAAGTCCTCATAAGTGTATGGTTGCAGTTTTGTTACTAATTATTCAACCCTATCCTTCCTCTGACTGGCTGAACAACATACCCTCCAGGGCAGGCCTTGAGTGATTCTGGGGAGTTACAGTATCTAGATCTGCTCCTTAAAAGGGGGTACATTTTCCTGTTTTTTTCAGTGGAGGCCCCCAGTGGTCCTTTTTCTTATTTCTGGTGATATTTCCAGCCCTGGGTCAGTAAATAATGCTTTATCCTGACCCCTGAGCTCTGAGGGTTAGTAACTACCTCTGAGACTGGGGATGGTGACCACATTTTTTGCCTCCTCCTGTTTTATTACTTCCTAATTAAGGAGGGGGTCTGAGGGGACTGGAGGTTGTGGCTCTTCCTCTCCATCCATGCTTCCCTGACCTTGCTCCCTCTGACTTCCCTCCCTTCGTCTCTTCTGTGCCCCTTTCCCGTTTAACCCTTAGTTTACCCTCGGTGGATTTGAGCAGCTGCAGGCTCTCAAAGTACAGAAGCGGGAAGAATTGGGCCTGCCTCCACTGGCTGAGGACAGTATCCAGGTGGTGAAGAGCATGCGTGCTGCCTCCCCGCCCTCTTACACTCTTGACCTGGGGGAGTCTCAGCTGGCACCACCACCCTCCAAACTGCGAGGCCGCCGTGGTTCTCGAAGGGTATGGACTAAAGCAGACAGTAGTGTTGTGACACTAGCTGACCAAAAATCAAGATTCTAAGCACCTCTGGATATGGTAGGAAAGAGCAGTAAATGACCCAGCTCTCCTGCCCCTGACTGGCCCTGAGACCAGACCAACCTGAAATCTTGGAGTCTATACTTCGGCCTCTATTCCCGAGCCCTGGCAGGGTCCTGGGCTGTCAAGATGTAACATTGTGATATCACATAGACCCATGTCTTGCTAAGGATCATTGGCCTAGACCTCAGTGCCTGGAGTTCCCTAGCACCCTGAACAACAGTTGGGGTATAATCCTGGGCATGGGTACCTGGTTGAGGCACTTTATCATTGTCTTCGCAGTAAGATTTACTCTGAGCCAGCCATGCTCTTATCTGGCCTTGGAACCAGAGGCTTACACTTACAAGATGACTGGTTAGGGTTCTATAGTGTGCATCCCTAGAAAGGTCACAATGACAAGTTGCACTGAGAGCTGACCATGCTCCCATGAACTTACCTGCCTGATCTGCTTGAGTTCACCAACTACAGGTGACAGGCTCGGACAGTTACACTCAGTAATCTAGTCTACATTATCTGCAATGTGATTTTTTTTAACCTTTATTTTTGTGTTTTATAAAGTAATGCTTACTCATTATAGAAAATTTAGAACGAATATAAAAATGTGAAGAAGGGAGAAAAAAAAGTCACCCACAATCTTAACAACCAGAGGCAATCACTGTTAACTTTTTGGCCTATTTCTGTCCAATCTTTTTTTCTTTCTGTGACAAGATTTAAAATTCCAGACTTGCTTCCCTCTGCCTAGCAGCAAGCTTCTGTCCTCCTCTTCCTCAGTCAGCCAGCTGGTGTATGCTCACAGAAGGCAAACTAATTGAATGTTCACCTAAGTAGAGCATAATTAGGAAGGAAAGTGCTGGCAAAAAAAAAAAGGCACCAGTGCTTTCTGAAAGCTAAGTAACTATGACTCTGGGATTATCAATGCTCTGTTTCCCAGCCATTGGCATGGTTGTGTGAGAGCTGCTTGTCCTAGAATTGGGCCTGGTGGGGACAGTAGTGTTGAGATGGGAAGGGAAAGGTCTCACTAGAGATGGGTTCTTACTTCCATGTTCCCTGAAGTCTAGCAGCCTGTGGGTTGGAGTGGTCTTAGACAAGGATGCCCAGGGTGAGATCTCTGCACGCCTTCCCTCTCTCCTTCCACCTACTCCCCTCCAACCCCCCAGCAACTCCTTACTAAGCAGGACAGCTTGGACATCTACAACGAAAGAGATCTCTTTAAGACTGAGGAACCAGCCACAGAGGAGGAAGAGGAGTCTGCTGGCGATGGAGAGCGTACCTTGGATGGAGAGTTAGACTTGCTAGAGCAGGACCCTCTAGTACCACCTCCACCCTCACAGGCACCCCTCTCTGCTGAGCGGGTGGCCTTTCCCAAGGGCCTACCGTGGACCCCAAAGGTCAGGTAGGTTTGATAACACCAAGCACCCTGAGCTTCGCGGTTTCAGTCACTGGAGGCCCAGGGTGGAGTGATCTATGTATTCAAGGCTCAATAAGCTGGGCTGGGAGTCAGAACTCCTGGGTTTGAAGTTCCCTGCTGTCTTCCCTTACTGTTCCAGTTCTCCAGCTGGAGGAGTAGGAGCCCAGTAAGGGTCCTTCTCTCAAGGTTTGCTTTTCTTCCCTTCTCTGGGATTTGTCTCTCCACCATCCTCTCAGACAGAAGGACATTGAACACTTCTTGGAGATGAGCAGGAACAAGTTCATCGGATTCACTCTGGGGCAGTAAGTGACTGGATGGTCAGAACTGGCTATAGAGTGGTTTTTAGAGGGCCACGGGAGCGGGTGGCCTAGAGTGAGAGATGTTGCCTGGTCGTGATTATACAACCCAGAGCCATGGGCAGCTCCCAGTGACTGCTTTGGGTTCTTGCCATGGAGTTTTTTCCTTCCAGTTTCCTAGAACTTTTATGTTCTCATCCAGGTGTAGGACCTTGAGCAACAAGTCATTTCCCTCTTGAACATCAATTTCCTTGTCAGTGTTATTAGATGGTCCCTGCAAGCCCTTCTGTAATGGGCCAGAATTCTGTGAAGAAGCAACATGGTTGGAACAGATCTTTCCCCATTCCCCCACCCTCTTGAATCCTCACTGGTCTCTACAAAACCTGAGAAACCATTGTTACTACCGTTTCACTGTCAAAAGTTTTGGGCAACATACCCTTTTAAGAAGGAACCTGCTCCCAGACAAAGTGAGTCCCCAAAAGACTATACAGAAATCCTAATTTTCAGGGACACTTCTCTGTACCATTATTCTTTTTGTGTCCTGAAGCAACGATGGGGGACCTGGTAGCTTGCAGAGAAAGATCCAGGGTACCAGGTGGTGAAAGTGGCATGGTCCACATGACTCCAGGGGGTATTGGTAATTCTCTCTACTTTTGACCCTTATGATCTGGTGTTGCATTTCACAGGGACACAGATACCTTGGTTGGATTACCCAGGCCCATCCATGAGAGTGTGAAGACCCTCAAGCAGGTGACCAGGGTGGGCTCTCAGTCTTCAGGGATAGGGAGCCATCAAGGCAAGTTGGATGACTAGGGTCCTGGGTCCTGGGTGGTGCTCTTCCACCAGACACGTTCTGAACCTGTTATTCTGTACTTCCTCCGCAGGCATTTTGGCCAAAGAGGTAAAAAATCAGGTCTCTCCGTACCTACTCAGTGTCCTACATTTAGATAGATGAACAAGTTCTCCTTTCTTACTCTCATTCCTTTTCCCTCCTCCCACCCTTCTCTCTCTTCCCACTTATTGCTTCCTTTCCTTTCCTTCTCTCTCCTTAGAGGCTCACTAACTTCCACGGGCCCAGGATTGAGTAGCAGTCTGCTCTGTATCCAAAGTGTGTGTGTGCACGAGTAAGAGTAGTCATTCCTTGCACAGACCTTGATCCCCACCCCACCCCACCCCATCATCATCACTCTGTACACACATGGACACACATACAGGCACATGCAGCAGAACTCTCAGGGCAGTGGTCCAGGGGCAAGGGCCTATTCTTGGCTTCCCCTTGCACGTTTTTGTTTTTTTTTTGGAAAGGCTGCGCCATGCGGCATGCAAGATCTTAGTTCCCCAGCCAGGGATCGAACCCGTGCCCCCTGCGTTGGGAGCACAGAGACTTAACCACTGGACCGCCAGGGAAGTCCCTCCCCTTGCACTTTGGTTGAAGGTAAATGCTAAGGTATTTGCTGCCCTCCAAACATGGAAATATGGAATAAACACTGTATTGAAGCACTTTGCTGCTGTTCATGATGCAAAGGTAAATAAGGCTCCTGCCTTCAAAGGGTGCGTAGTGTATTTGGGCTGACAGACCCATAAACAGGACATTTCCTTGTCATTGGGGAAATGATCACTGGTACACATGTGATCGAGGCCCTCAGCCCCTTGTTGATGTCTTATGTTTCCCAGTACAAGTACATCTCCATCGCAGATGTTCAGATCAAGAATGAGGAGGAGCTAGAGAAGTGCCCCATGTCTTTGGTGAGTCAAGGGGAATCCTGCACAGGAGGAAATCTGTCTGCAGTGCTGTCGCCTAACTCGCGTGCATGCTGTTGGACTCTTACTGTATACTAGGCAAAGCAAGGTCTCTACTTTCATGATACATTAAAGTTGGAGAAAAACGATAAGTAATTAAGGAAATGAGAAGACTTTCAGAGAATGGTAGATATGGTTAAGAAAATTTTAAATAGGGTGACATATCATGTAGTAGACTATTTTAGATTGGGCAGTCAGGGTATGTAGACCTCTGAGAAGGTGATAATTACCTAAGATCTGAGGTATAAGAAGGAGCTGGCCGTAAGAACATCAGGGGAAAGAGCATTCGAAGCAGAGCGAACAGACTTATTAAGAAGGTGAGAGCAAGCTCAGAATGTTAGAGGTAGTGGATGAAGGCTAGTGTGGCTGGAGCACAGTGGGGAGGGGGAAGGTTGTCTGAGATGGGGTCAGGGAGGTGGCCTGGGGCCACTTTACATAGGACATTTAAGCGAAGATAGCTTGAAGTTGATTCAAGTGACAAAGGGAAGCCTTTGGAGATTTTAAACGGGAGTGACATGATCTATCTTTTTACAATAAAAACCATTGGCTACTTTGTAAAGGCTGGATGAGGAAAGAGTGGTGTTTTAGATGGCAGTAGGAAGTGTGGAGATAGGGAGAAGTGGATGAATTTGGTTTATATTTTGGAGGTACAGCTGACAGGAGTTGCAGTTCAATTGGCTGTGGATAGAGAGACATAAAGGGCAATCAAGAATAAGTACCATTTGTCAAGATGAGGAGTTCTGTTTTTTGGTTTTTTTGTTTTTGTCTTTTAAATTAATTTATTTTTATTTCTGGCTGTGCTGGGTCTTCATTGCTGCGCGCAGGCTTTCTCTAGCTGCGGCAAGCAGGGGCTACTCTTCATTGCGGTGCGCGGGCTTCTCATTGTGGCAGCTTCTCTTGTTGCAGGCTCAGTAGTTGTAGCGCTCGGGCTTAGCTGCTCCGCGTCATGTAGGATCTTCCCAGACCAGGGCTCGAACCCGTGTCCCCTGCATTGGCAGGTGGATTCTTTTTTTTTTTTTTTCCCTTGCGTTATGCGGGCCTCTCACTGTCATGGCCTCTCCCATTTGCGGAGCAC